GCACCAGTGCAGACAGCCCTTCCACATGTTCACACTAGTTCTGTGCAATGGAGACGTGACATTAGAACCACTGGTAACCACGCACGCGCTTCGCGCGATTAGGTACTTGCCCAAGGCAGTTGCCCAGGGCTCACCCGATGCACACGCAACATTTATCCGTCTCATTCCTTATCGCCCTTCTCCCCCTCATCATCACGATCTTCTCCTGATTGTTCTTCATACTCAATATGATCAACGGTTTCGTCTTCCTCTCTTCTCGTCTCCTTACGTGTTGCTTGTTTCCAAATGTTCGTGAATAGCAGAATCGCTGTTCTCCTTCTCGGAAATGTGATAATCGCGCAAGCACGCTTGGAAAAGGCGGAAACAGTGATGGGGAAGCGGGGAAAGAGGTATGCAGGGGAGAAGGGGCGAGTCTAGGGATGCAAAAGATGTCAGGGAAAGAACTCCCCCGCGTCCACTTGCGCTAGAAACCGCCACGGCGGCGACGCCGCTGGGCAATCGATGCGCCCCAGATGGGTCATGTTCGGAGGGAGGGGCAGGGAGCAGGGACGACGGGTCAAAGCGGACCCTCTGAGATGTCGCCGGGCAAGCCCCGGAAGGATCAAACCAGGGCCCCAAATCACGTTGCGCGAAAGACTCCTTCCTTGCTCCTTGGGAAGCTTCTCGGGCGACTCTGAGGGGATTCCACGAGGGTCTGGGGGGCATGTTGGCAGCCCTACCCTTCCCGATGATTCACCAAGACGCCTCTTGGCCCCCAAACAGGGGCCGTGCGGGCGCCATCTTGGGGATCTCAGGAGGCTCCCTTGGGCCATCTTGGGGGCCTCTTTTGCCGTCTTGGGGCCCGCAATGTTGGGGTCCGCTTGCGGTCCGCTTGGGCTGTCTTGGGGGGATCTGGGAGGCCTCTGGGTCCGTCTCAACTCCTTCAAAAACCTTCAGGGCATCAGCAGTTAGTGTCTCTTCAACACTTTTGGGCGTCAGGGGGCTCTCTCTCTCGGGGTGTCTTGGGTGCATGTTGGCCTGTCTTGAGGCCATCGAGGGCCCTTGGAGTGCTCTGGAGCCGTCTTGATCAAGTCTTGGCGGTCGCGGGGGACTCTTCGGCCGTCTTCACCCATCACTGGGCTGAAAGCCCCCTGGCGTCTTGAAAACGTCCTGGCTGCCTCCGAGGCCAAACGTGGGGAGTGGGGAAGGAATTTAGGAGAAATGTGCTGCCCCTGGACCCAGGACCCTGGTGGTTATGTGCTGTGCACTTGTAGACGCGCGTGCGGTTTCTGCCTCGCTCTGCTCCGATTGATACACACTTCTCACTCCCATCATGCTAGTCCGGCTTGGACGCAATGAAGGGCATGGGCTGCAAATCTTCGAACACCTTTCAGCCCGGATTGCTACTGCTCAACAAGGTTCGGTCCAATGCGCCATAACCGTTCCCAGAAGTCCTCTGGCCGCCTCCCGCTGACCAGCGCCCTCGCTCCGCTTAATACCCGCCCGCCCGTCTCGCGCCCTCGATGCCCCTGGCCTCGGCGTCATGATGTTTGCTCGCGTCGGTCGTCGTCGCCGATCGTCCTCGAGCCCACCCCCAGGCAATGGCCACGGTCGTGCACGGCTCCCCGCCCAGCCCTTCGCACTCTCTGGACGCCACCCTTTGGCCCTGGCCTCCCAACGCCTCTGACCCGCACCATCGCTCCCCTTCTGGTTACCCCCCCCCTCCGCCCCGCCCCGCGCCCTCGCTTCCCCACAGCTGTGTTCCAGAACCTCGTGGTTCGTCGTTCGTTCGTCGTTCGTTCGCTCGTTCGTCGGCTCCAACGGGCCACCCCCATGCCTCCCCGCGATGGCCGCAAGGAGCCCCTAGGACGGCCCCAGGAGACTGGCGCGCGCGCGCCCTATGGCTCGCCGCTCCCATGAGCAAGAGCCTAGGCACGCGTGCCTCCTGGGCCTTACCACACCAAGGGTCAGGATGGCGCGAGTTCACGACACCCACCTCAGATTATCAGCGGCCTTCGATCCGAAACTCAACTTCGAAACTTCAGATCTGCTCACCCCTTCGATAGAGATGGGCCAGAAGCGACGCTGATCAGGCTAATCTCGGGAATGCGGAGGAAAGCTAGCTGACCGTCACTTCAAGTGTAAGTGGCGAAACAGCGCGTCCTTGTCGTTGAAGCAGCCACCAGATTTCCAAAACCTTGGCATTGTGACTGCACTACTTGCGCTCGCGTCGCCCCCGCTGTCGTTACCCTCACTTGCTCATCAACTCTGGAAGCGTGTTCATATGGTTGTGGGTGTTTGTGAATTGCAGCTGCAACCAGAGGACAACCAGGGGATTGCAGACCTTCCCTCTGTCCACCTGCCACATGGCCTCTGTAGGTCAAGGGTAAGCCTGGCTTCGGCCAAGTGGCTACGCTCGAGAGCCGCACGACATCAACAAAACTGCGGGCCGCCGCGACGCCTTCGTGAAGTCACAGCCAGGCCAATGGGAGATGCAAGGTATGGGAAGAAGAAAAGGAAG